GCAATTTTTTGATAACCATTTTACCTAATTTTCATCATGACAATGTTATCAACATGATCAGTTCTTATCAACATCATCGGTTTCTGCTTGAAGACTATTCTGGATTTAATACCAATCAGAATCTAGTACCGCTTGAGTAGCATTTTGTTCAACTTTGCCAGGCTTTCACTTGTTATTTTTTGATGTAGAACAAATAGTAATACAATTTACATTTGCTGTCAAATGTCAGAGTTATTGATATAAATCACAATTTAATAATCGTTTAATCATCAGTTATTATGTTATCTATACTAATATATAAAATCCTTAAGTGACTGACATACTGATTAATCACGATCCTGTTCAAACCACTCAACGTAAGAAGCTCAATTTTGGCATACAGGTTGATTCTAGGCTGTAGAGGTTCGATAAGAAGGGATTTTTCGAAATTCCAGTTCCAAGAGGGTGAAACCACTCCTCAAATATTACAATATTTTTTATTTAAAAACCGGCCAAGTTTCCGAAAAAAACGCTTGAACACGTATATTTTATTTTGTTTTTTTTACATTTTTTACATATTTTTTAAAAATGTATACAGGGTGTTTCGAAAAATCTGGTCATTGATTAATCATGATCCTGCTTAAAGCGCTTGACGTAAAAAGCTGATTTTTGAAAAACAGATTGACTTTAGGGTGTAGAGGTTCGATAAGAAGGGATTTTTCGAAACTCGAATTCTAAGGGGATGAAACTATCCCTCAAATATTAAAATATTTTTTATTTAAAAACCGGTGAGTTTTTCGGAAAAACTCTTAAACACGTATATTTTATTTTGTTCTTTTACATATTTTAAGATTTTTCATAAATTTATACAGGGTGTTTCATAAAATATGACCATTTAGTAATCACGATTCTGCTTAAACTGCTTGACGTTTAAAGCTGATTTTTGGCAAACGGATTGACTGTGGGGTGTAGAGGTTCGATAAGGAGGTGTTTCTCGAATCTCAAATTCCAAGAGGGTGAAAACGCCCCTCAAATATTACAATATTTGTTATTTAAAAAACGGTTAGTCTTTCGGGGAAAACGCTTGGACAAGCATAATTTATTTGTTTTTTTATATTTTTGATTTTTTAAAAATCATACAGGGTGTTCCAAAAAGTTGGGTAATTTAACCACGATTCTGCTTAAACTGCTTGACGTAAAAAGCTTATTTTTGGCAAACGGATTTTTCGAAAGTCAAATTCCAACGAGATGAAACTCAAATATTACCAAGTTATATAATAATATCGCCATATTGTTTTTTCTCATGCTGACATAAATGTGAGAAAATTTTATCCAGTTTGTATGTTAATGGAAATTCTTGCTTTGCTTTATCATTACCATTACAAATGGTTAATTCGACGCGAACGAAGTCGCTGCTACAGGCTAGTTAATATAATAAAATGATTTAGAAATTAATTTAATCAGTTCCATTTAAAAAAATATATACAGGGTGGTCCGAATTGTATTCATAGTCATAGGAAACTTCCGAATTGTATTCATAGTCATAGGAAACTTCAGCAGCATATTCTGCAGATGAAAATAAGTAAAAAAGTTCGTATAAATGTATGTCCTAAAATGCTTAGTTTCGGAGATACAGGGTGTAGAAATTTCATTTTTATTTTGATTTTTTCCAAATAACTTCTAAAGTAACGCCAATATTTGGGTGAAAATAGGTGTCTGGGAGTTTTTTGACATGAGAAATTTGATTTTGATGTCAATATTACTCTTAATTGTAGAGGGCGCGACCTACATATTTTTTAACAGGTTTTAAGAGTAGTAACTTTTCGTCCATACCTGTATATAGCTACTGAGTAAAAAAATATACATTTACAATGTTTTTTACGTAAAAAAGATCTCTTGGTAAAAATCGCTACGAGTAATGGTTCTCGAGATATTTGGAATCGAAATTATCAATACCTGTCATCATTGACATAAATTAAACATGTTGACTAAATAGTTATTAAACTGAAATCATAAATTTGAAATGTTTTTGTGCCAAAAGTTTTCATCATCATTTTTTCAAAGAAAAAATTATGATTAATTAAAAAAAAAAATGTTTCCAAATTCATTATTTCAGTCAGATAACTATTTACTCGAGTGTTTATTTTTTGTCAATAATGACATGTATTGACTATTTCAATTCTAAATATCTTGAGAACGGTTGCTCGTATCGATTTTTACCAAGAGATATTTTTTACGTAAAAAATAACGGAAATGTATATTTTTTCGCCCATTAGTTTTATACAGGTACAGACGAAAAGCTATTACTCTTTCAAACAGTCAAAACACATGTAGGTGGCGCCCCCTACAAATAGGAGTCATATTGATATCAAAATCAAATTTATCATGTCAAAAAACTCCCAGACGCCAATTTTCATCTAAATATTGACGTTACTTCAGAAATTATTTGGAAAAAATCGAAATAAAAATGAAACTTCTACACCCTGTATCTTCGAAACTAAGCATTTTAGGACATACGAACTTTTTTACTTTCATTTATCTGCAGAATATGCTGCCGAAGTTTCCGGAATATAGTTCGGACCACCCTGTACCCTGTATACAGGGTGGTCCGAACTGTATTCCTGAAACTTCGACAGCATATTCTGCAGTTAAAAATAAGCAAACAAGTTCGTATAAATGTATGTCCTAAAATGCTTAGTTTCGGAGGTGATTTATTTTCAATCCAATAAAGTAGAAATATACCGAGGGTGCCATTTAAAAATCAAAAGTTGTAGTCATTTTCGGTGAAACAGGAAGTGACGAAAAACATTTTAGCACTAATTTTTAATCAAAGAGCCTTGGAAAAATAGATTTGAGCGTCTAATGATTTTCGTGTCTTGTCCGGGGCCGTTATAAGATGCCCAAATCGTATTTTTAATCATATCTCAATTATTTCAAATGGGACAAGGGTGGCTCATTAGCATATTTGGAAAAAGCGAAGGAAAAAAATTAAAATCTTCATTTTTAACCATTGTGAAATATGTCGCTCACTAAAAATCGTCAGAAAATGTCTCTTATACTTCGTTACACTCAGGAATTTTTTAGAATTTTTTGAAGTGGTGGAACATTAGGAAAAAATAGGAAAAAAAACTATTTTTTTTTCTAAAATCTTCTGTTTTAACTAACTTATATTTTTGTTTAATTTAAAAAGTGAGTAGAAAATATTTTTTCATTAAAAATACATCCTTGCCCGAAATAAACATAAAGATTATTATAAAAAAATGAATCCGAGAAGAATTTAGAAAAAAATGAGTTATTTTTTTTCATATTGTTGGGCCACTTCAAAAAATTCTAAAAAATTCCTGAATGTAAAGAAGTATAAAAGACATTTTCTGACGATTTTTAGCGAGTGACATATTTCACAAAGGTTAAAAAAATGAAGATTTTAATTTTCTTTCCTCCGCTAAAAATCGGCTTTTCATTTAAGAATCATGATCATATTATTTTTTCATGTCTTAGACTTCTAAGAATTAGAAAAAAAATTATCATTATTTAATTTTCAATTTTACTATAAAGATAAAATTGAAAAACAGTTTTATTTCAAAATCTCGAAAACCGTTTAAGTTAAAGAGCTAAAAATTAGGCGAATTATTTTGATTCGACACAAAATCGATCCCCTGAGTGCGAGTCAAAAAAGCCGCGAGGCCAGATTTTCTATATTAATCCGGCTATACCCTTTTCAAAAAAAATTCGCGAAAAAAAACTCATAATCCGGTAAATTTGTTTTATTAGTAAATTACCGCTGACAAATTGGTGTTGAATTAACTAACGTAGCGGTAATTACAAAAAATAACTATTTTCTTTTGTAGATTTGCATACAACACAAGAAGAGAAGACTTTTTCAAGTTGCCCATATATTGTGTACTCGACGCGGCGGCTGTAATAAAAATAATAAAAAGCAAGTAATAGCAGTACCTCATCAAATAAACTCCTATAATATATCCGCAGAGCATCGGTCTTCAAAAGTCCTCCCGAATCGACTTCGGGCCACAGATATCCCTCGATATCCAGCACGGCGGATCACTAACACTAACTTGTAACTAGATACCGTCACCCGATTCTACTCGTGGTTACTTAGATCATCACTAAAAAATCGTACTGCTTATACCATACACAAGCTTATACACCGTGCGTTCTCTGACAACTGTTTCAAATCCGCACCGGTAAGAGAGATTCTCGAAGATTGTAACGTGATTAAGAAGCTCCAATGGAGACAGGGTTTTATTCGACTTAGGCTAATCTTTGTTCTGGGAAGGCTATTTATGTGAGGAGAAAGTTATGCAGTGGGTGGTAGTCGTAAATACAATACGCTATAGTTTCGGTGGGTCGAACTTCATAAACCCGAATTGTGGAATATGATGAACGAAAAGTATTAAGCCTAGTTTTTATGTATACGAATTTCATGTCGCTATAACGTCTGAAATGTGGATGTATACTCTGTTTTTTTTTCTCAGGTTAGATTTCGACAGACGATGGGTGGAATTAATAAAAATAAGTATTTGATTTTACTACTATTTTCCTCAGTAAATGCTTGGTTTTATATTAATAAAAAGAAAAAGCAAATCCTTTGCAATGAGCAGTTGCTGATGCCTACTAGCATTTTGCACGCACATAGATTAATAAAATTAGGAGTTTGCTAGTGAAAATAAGTAAATGCTTCTAAAAATATAAGTCTGTCTATTTAGTTGGTTTCGATTATCGCTTTGAAATGTTGAATCTTTTACGTGCTCAAAAAACATACAAAGTAAGGCGGGAGGATCCCGAAATCGATTTCAAAAAGTTGTTTAGATTTACCCCTCAAAGTGTATCCCGACTGAGCGAACATTTCTTGGGGACTGGTGGAGAAACTCGCGGTGGCGCATTGGACTCAAGAACTCAAATGAAAATTTTTAGAAAAAAAAAGATACGTCGCTGATCCAGGTAAAAAATAAACCATACACAGTGGAAATAGAGAATAAGCAATTATTGAAAATTATTTTTAGGATTCCAAAGTGGAGTAGCTGAAAACATAGGAGTATCTCAAGGGACGGTATCACTAACAGTTAAATATGTAGCGAAAAAAATAACAGAAAAAGCTGCCGTTTGGATTAAATTCCCTTCAACTATTCAGGAAATTGACGCGGCAAAAAATCAGTGGTTAGAAAAATACAAGTTTCCTACAGCAATTGGCGCATTAGATTGTACCCAAGTAAAAATAAAAAAGGTTGGGATTCAAAGGCATGGAGGTGATATGAGAGCATACATCTGCAGAAAAGGGTTCGCTAGTATAAATGTTCAAGCAACCTGTGATGCAAACGAGGTCTTTAAAAGTGTTAGCGCCGAATGGCCAGGATCAGTACATGATAGTAGAATTTGGAGGAATAGTGCAACTTGCCGAACACTCAGAAGATTTGATAATGCGATACTTCGAGCTGACCAGGGTTATGGTATTGAAAACTGTGTTATGACACCTTTTGTCAATCCTCAGACTCCAGAACAATTGGCTTACAATAACCTTTTTAAAAGAGAGAGGGTAGTTATCGAACGATATTTTGGTCAGTTGAAGCAACGATTTCCAATATTACAAAACATAGTTCGATTATCACTTGCTTCAGTTCCAACAATTATTATTGCATGTTTCATATTACATAACGTAGCAAAATTTTTCATGATGATGCATGATGATGCACTAGATGATGTCGATGATAATGAAAATAATGAAAATGATGGCGAATGTGGAGAAACTGAAGCAAATGAAGATGATATAAATAATTTTAGATTATTAGGGCAAAATAAAAGAAACAGATTGGCTGAGCTGATATATTCCAGATTATAATTTAAAATACTTTTTTTACAGAGAATAAAATATTTTTTCACCGTCTGTTGTTATTTTACTTGTCACGTCGGAGTTTTCTCCCATTTCTTGACGCAGTTGTTTATTTTTGTATCTGAAGTAAGACAGCTGTTCAAGTAAAACGAGGCGCTGCAGCTCAGAATTGGGCAATTTCTTTGTTTCTGTAGTTTCGGAAGAGGATGTTGCCGATTCTCTTTTTTCCTTGGGACGTTTCGGGGTTGGCGGTGGAGGTTTTGGCATCACAACTTCTGTAGCTGATGATGGACCTGCTTCTATGTGACCAGGAACTTTGTTGAGCACTGGCTTGTTACTATTCGCTCCGTTCGTTACTATTACTCGGTTACTATTCGCTCCGTTCATAACGGCAAACACAACTTGCTCTGTAGGACTCTAGCTTGATTTTTTTATTTCCAGTACGGTTCGTGTCTGTTTTCTTCTTAATGGCAGCCTTCAAATTATTTATCTTCTTCAGAATATTTTTTACTGCTATAACTTTTCCGTATTTAGTTTCTAGTTCGTTCTTCAATGTTTCTATTGCATTATTTTTCTGCGCTTTTATCGATGGCACTTGACTTTTATTTATAATGACTGGATGCTCTTTTAAAAAGTTAACAATATATAGAAGTTCACTATTTTCACCTTCATCCAATTCAGAAGATGAAGACGACGACATGATTAGAAATATATTTCACAACTGTTAAATTTTAACCTACGAAAATAAGACAGGCCCATGCGTATATTGGACTAGAATGTTCACTTCTTTTACGATAAAATTCCAAAACACGAATAAAAAAAATCAAATATGCATTTGTTATTAATTTTAGCTTGTTTCCACACAAGCATATCCTTATGGCAAAAGTATTTGGTAATTAATATAAAAATAAGGATTTGCTTGTACCACTAGCATTTACTGAAAAGCAAAACCTTTTGCTTACAAGTAAATGCTTCTAAGCAAATCCTTATTTTTATTAATTCCACCCGATGACAGAAGAAAAGTAGATTACGTCCCATACCAATCTATTTATTTTACTAAAAATAGTCTAATATTTTTTAAGTTAAATATAAATCCGTCATGCGTCGTCTCTTGTTGTTTTTAACTAGTTTTATTGGTTTATTACAAAAATGACAGATGATAATTTAATTTTATTTGTTTGACGGAACGATCAACGACAAACGGACGCCGATGCGTATGAACTAGCCTTTAGATTTTTGAGACTTGTCAAAGTGTTGCCAAATTATTGGTTATAATTTTGTTGTCAATGATTATTTGTATTGTATAATTTTTACGTCAAATACCCTGCGTTTTGGAAGATGATGCATTTTGAATCGTGTTATTACGTGTGTTTTGTGTCTTTTGAAGGCAAGTGGAGGAACAATCGAGGGAAAATTAACTGTAGCCCCAGAGCACAGTTTATAGTTAATACTCGCTGGCCAGGCAGAAAGTCTTATACACCAGTAAAGTTACCATCAATAAAGTTTGTATACCATCTCGTCGTAGATAAGTGCATCTCGTATATGATTCAAAGGATCGTACTAAACATATACTAAAAACTGGAGTAGCTGTAAAATATCGACATCACACGATAGGTAAATAATGGATTTTAGTACTGCTGAAAAATAATGTCAAAAGGTACTGGTATAAAAAAATTAGATTAAAGTTAATTAATCAACCTTTAAGGTATAAAATTTGGTAAGTGGTATTATTATTAATAAAATAGTTTGTTTTATTTATGTTTTTTTTATTTACTTCTGTGGAATATTACAATTTTGTATTTGTACATAAGTCATTGATAAATATAATAATAAATGCGGGAAGTTTCTTGAAGCTTGAAAGTAAGAAATAGTTCTTTTTATACTTTTTGGTATGTTGTGTTTTGTTCTTGTTTGTTTTGTATTAACACATACTGTTTTTTTAATAAAACAACTTACAACATTACATTTTTTCAGTTTTATATAGTTTTTTTCACAATATTTTGAACAAATTTTGAAGTAATCACTTGTCAGTCAAATTTTAAATATATTAATTTCCTGCTATGCCTTTGTGCTATGCGTTCCAATTGTACCAACTTATTTCTTTGTAAAATAAAATAAACTACTTTGAAATTAAAATGACCGACACATGACACATCTACCATTGTCAAGGATCTTGTCGTTGGACATCTCTGGTTAGATAGACTATATTAAAAATTAAGCCTCTTAGAATGCCAAATTTTAGGGACATTAACTTACTTTTTTTAAATACGAATGGGCAAGTTTCACGCAAGACATCATAGAAAAAAACATATTGAATTGTTTAGTTTAGTTAATAGTAAATAAAATAAGTAATACTGAAACAGAGATGTACAAAATGTAAAAGATATAACAGTATAACCCCGGATTGTCTTTATAAGAGGAAAATATTTTTTATTATTGACATTTTGAGAAAATTGCATTTTTTAAAAAACATATGAAAATTAATATTTTAAGGCGTTTCTATGGCGATATAATTTCGATATCATTCTTTGATAGATGGTTATTATTAATTTTGATTAGAGATGAGAATATCTAACCGCAAACTGCGATTCAAACGCAGCGATTTTAAAATCGCAATCGCAACCTGCGATTGTCTCTTATAGGAAACTGCGATTTGCGATGCTTGAGTTTCAATTTAGGCAACCAATATTACTATAGTTACGATTTTGCTGTGATTGTGATTTTGTAAACTAGGACCGTAATAACCTTTTATCTGCGAGTTTGAATTTTTAGGAGTCGCAATTTGCGATTTTGTTGCGAATGTAATTTTGTTTTCCATTCCACCAAAAAAAAAAAAACGTTTTTTACTTGTTTCTCTTGCTATTTGGCTAAGATTTGCCAAAGCCCGTTTAAGTAAGATTGCACTAGCTTTTTTCTTCTGTTTTCAAAGGGGTTTCTTCTGTTTTCAAGAGGTTCGATTCCCGCTTCAGTACTCTGCTAGTTGCAAGGCTTGTGTAAAGAGCTCCAAGAGCTTCCCCAAACATTTTGAACACGGTCTATGAACTCTAGGGTTGATATGCAAGCAGTAGAGTATACTTCAGTATACTACCAAGCGATAATCATCTTACTTTGCATCTCACTAATTTTAATTTACTTTTTCTAAATCATTTAAGATGGAATATCAGTTGGTTAGATTTTTATCATATAAAAATACATAAATCATCAAATAAAACTATTGTGTTTGACAAAACCAACATTGAAATTTCATATATTTTGTACAAGGTTACCAAACAATGGAACTTGCATTTATTGGACTAGTGATATTATATCCAAAATTTTAACTCCATTTAGGCGCCGGCCTAGAAAAAATTAAATGGAATTAAACATTAAATCAATGGTTAAATGCTAAAAGTGAATAGATTAGTAGTCTTATTATAAAGAGCTCACAATAAGGATATCATGCTAGCTATATTTCTAGCTATTATCTATATTTCTAGCTATCTATCTATCTATCTATATATCTAGCTATTAATACAAAATGCATTAATACTTCCGACTAGTGATGGGAGAAAATTCGCTCGAGTACTCGAATATTGAAATATATTTGTGTAAGTTCTTTTAATCAACGGCGTTTGCATCTGAAGATTGTTTTGGGGTTTCCCTATACAAAGTCATTTACTGGTACAAGGGGAACCCTCATCGCATATTGCTATTCTCATCGCATCGCTATTTCTCACAAACGGTTCGAATGATTATTTGAGTATACAATATAAAGAGTGTTACAAAAACAGTTAATCTTCTATAGACGTCTGTCATGCATCTGTCAAAATTTTTACTACAATTGATGTATCAATTGCTTTGGCCTCATTTGTTCATCACTGTCATGATTTCTAGGATATAAATAACAACTTGCTTTTTTATTTTTTGGCATTTTTTGCACATGCAATGTTACAAGATTATGTACTTTAGTAGCTTTTGATGGTTCCTTAACATCCAAAAAACGATGTTCAATAAAGTATTTCTCAAATGTTGGCGAAATGATTGCGACTATCGTCTAGCAAACACAGCTACACACTACGGTTGAAGAATAACGTAGCGGTATGTAGTTTTGACGCCCTCAGCGAGATATGAGCCGTTCACTGCACAATTCACAATTCGATTTCGACACCACTGTAAAAAAGTCTTGAAGGCTTAAATGTAAGGCTAAAACTAGGTAGTATATTCATAACTTTTTACATTTATAACATTTTTCCAATCATTTAGAGAAATGGTAACTTCTGAACTTAGGAAATAATGTTCCTTATAAATATAAAAAATTGGCGCCGGGAGGCACGTATAGCCGCCCATACTAAAATATGTTAATAAAACGTTGGTAGGCAGTTCTTTTAGTTTCAATTATCTCAAAAACTGCGACTTTGACTGATTTTGATGTTATTACAAATTTTGTTGCAAATATTATTCCTAATCTTAAATTGAAAACCGCGTTTCGCTAGCTACTGTAATTTTGGAGTTACGATTTTTTTTTAAATTTTTAACGCCCTTCCATACCCCCTTACCAACCCCCCACCCCCACCAAAAACTAATGGCCAGAGTCTCAGGTGCCACAGTATTTTTGTGCCAAATTTGGTTAAAATCGGTTTAGCGGTTTTTGAGTTATCGTGTTACAGACAGACGGACAGACAGACAGACAGACACCACGAAAATATTTTGTATTTAGGTCATTTATGACCCAAATAACTCATTTTGAGTGAAATTAAAAAAACTTTTTTTTTGCCGATACCATACCTGTTGGTATGGTCGGCTAAAAAATTAAGGATATACCAAGTAGTTTTACACTTAAATTTAACATTTTTCAAAAAGTGGATTTAATCAAATTATGCAGTCATTGGTTCATAAGCAGAATTTCGTGTGGAGTATTAAAATACCTTAGGTGAGTATTGGAGGATTCACTATGCCCCTAGAATTATACGATCGCAGAAAATATAAAAACTATAGGTAAATAGCAAAATAAAATACAAATTCATCACAAT